AAATACTTCGTCGCTATTGACTAATCCCGCGTGAAATATCACTATGAAGTAACTATGATGTCATAGTCGAGGTGCATTTCCCGCCTAAATTATTCAAAAGTCATCGTCTGGTTTGTAAATACCACCGGGCCATACAAGTGGCGTGTTTCAAAAAGCAATACATATGTAATATAGGAAATGATCTAATCTTTACGAGTCGGAAATGGGGCATCAATATGCACGGAGACCTTTAAATGAATCAGAAAATGTAACATTTTTGCATAAATAAAACTACATCATTATGCGTTTATGCTGTAAGGCAAGCTATGTAATTGAAGCAGTATATATACCAATAATGATGATGAACTCGCTTTGATTGTTAAATTCTAAAACTTTATCGCAAGATCAAATAGTAATAGTATCTATAAAGTAAATCATTTCAGATATACGTGGCATTGCAACTCTATCCGGCTTAAAAACAATGAAATGATACTAATACAATTTATGGCAATGTTGCTTTTTGTGAGTACACATTTGGTAGGCAATAACAACGGATTCGGACAGCATAACTGTGGATAAAACGGTGCAAGTATCCCGTTGATTTACATCGATAATATTTACAAATATAACATTTGAATGAAAACTCTTGGAATATATTTTCTACTATAGCAACATTCAGTCGGTCGATCAGACTTCAGTTTACCAATATTAATTACGATTGTTTCCGGGCAACTGGGCGTCTGAATGAAAAAATGCTCAAAATAGAAAAACTTGGGAGTTTGCTCGATTTCTCGACTGCCTAAAACAGCCCAACCTCGTATAGCATTTGGTGAAAGGTTGTTTTTAATGAAATTAGATGGGTTGGTAGACAATCAACTCAATAATCTGATTCCAAAATAACACAAAATTGTAGTGTTGATGTTCACTTTTCGTCATGGGAATTTCTTTCACTATGCTATTTTTTTCATTGTTATGACGCCATACTTTAGGTAGGGTTTGGGGTCGTCATTTCAATGTTATCATTCTCATAATGCAAAATGGTATCATGAATTTATCAAAATCTTCTAAAGCCTCGAAAACATAATGCATTGTAAAGAAAATTGCAATATTTTGGAGCGTGGCAGAGATTTTACAATTATACATGAAAATGTAAGCAGATCATCCCCAAATGGTTCTCTTCTTAGATTAAGCCATTGAGCAGAAAACTTCAAACGTATTCGAGTTAAGACATTTTCTCAACAAGCGATGTCACAACAATTGCACGTTTCCAGTATTTTCCATCGTTGTGACCTTCGACAAATACTATACGAGGATTTAAATGTAGCGTGGGAACCCAAACAAAAATAGACGACCTATCATATAGTATATAGCGCACCGCTGTTTATTTAGAAACCATGAATTTATCACAAATCCTAGCAACAATTTTAGCAAAAGAGGACACATAAGGACGAAAAGTTGATCAAAAGTTGACCGCATGGAAAATATATGATATATTAAGTGAAGTAGTCGCCGGGTTATTGAACCTATATCAAGTCAATGCATCTGAAAACAAATAACTGGCTAACTAATCTCGTACCCGATATGGACTGGTAACCGGACGAGAAGCCGTGGTTCACATATGATTATGCCATCTTATCGGCTTTTTTCTGACGGTATCAATATGCAAATCCTATCCTATTTATATAAGAGGTGATAGTTAAGATATATCATATTGAAAGTGGTAATTTGCCATGGGTAATAAAATCTTACCAACATTCCAACGGCGTCCAAATTTCAAATTCATTTAAATGGCGATGGGGCCCATATGGCCCATCCCCTAAACCTAATTGTTTCAGAATGCGAACAATGAACAAGACACATATTGTAATTTAAAAGTATCCCCTATGCCAGGGACATGCATACTCCTCATATATTTGTTTTAATGGTGGCAAAAACATTTGGAACTATTTATCCTCCTCCAAAATACGGTCAAATGAGTGAGCGCTTGGTGCATATATTGTTACCAATGAGGTAATATGAAAGCGGGACAGTGTTATATAGCGTTTATTTTTAGGATTAACTCATCATCCGGTATTATATTACGTCATACATTTTCTGAGGTCGAATACCTAAAATTTGGCATAAATTAAAATACCGTCATGTCCTGTCATTGTTTAATACTTCACGATTTGTCCCGGTGTTACCGGCATATGACGTAATCCGCGTTCGATATCGATTGAAAGTTCGTGGAAGTTTATAATGCGCTGGTACTTTTCCGCAATTTAAACGAATTTGCTGGAATATTCACGAAACAAAAAGTAGCAGAAATTGTTGAGCAATTTTACACAATTGTTCTGTATTTTTTTATACACGACGTATCATCCAAGCTTTTTCGCTCCGAATAAGACCCTGTATAAGCAATCATGAATTTCTAACAATACCCGAGGAGCCATTTTAATTTGCAAGGACCAGAATATCTCCGATACGGCATTGCCTACCCTATTATGTGAAAAATGGTCTGAAGAATGATTTTTACCATGCCCACTTTGCTAGAACAGAAAAGTAATAAGTACATTCCGGACGTGTTTATTCATTTGCTTTCCTTTAGAGTTTATTTTCTCAACTTTAGAATTCATCTTAGACATCCAAACAGTTTGATACCATTGTTACATAACAAAACATTTTACTTGAGATAGGGGATTAAAAAATGGAATAAATTGTCGCACAACCTCTCAGTACATCTATTTTATTTGGTAAAATTCAACTTCAGTTTACCTGAGACCTGAAATCCTGCAATTTTATTGCGTCATTTTTGCTTTTCTATTTCAGTTGCGAAAACAAAACTGGAGTATCTAACGTTTCAAACATTTGCTCAAAACATTGAGATCATGACGCATATAAAATATTTACCACGATTACTAAGCATTTAGAAATCTTGTTTAAATCTAGTTTACCCCAGATGAAGAATCTAAGAAATGTCATTCACAACAAACAATCAACGCGGAGGTATAGTTTTCTTTACATTTGAAGTTACATACATGTTTCAGCTGTGACGTTTTTAGAGGTTAGGCGGGTTTGCAAAACATGCAGCTTATCGCGTAATATATTTACATAAATTATGTTTTCCTACAGGAAGGAGTAACGTGTGTGTAATATATGCATAATTTACGGACAGGAATTTCAAACATTTTAATATTTTGACCTGAAGATTTGTTTTTGTTTTTCTGAAATGTGTTTGAAACGCTGAGAGAGAAACCGAATTCATAACCTTACATGCGTATTTGTTATGAAGACTTGGACAGACGGAACTTTGTCAGCCAGTCTCCACATTTTTCTAAAATTTCATTCAACTGTATTGTGTGTTCGTTGGGCTTAATAAATTCGTCACATTGAGGAATGTACGTTCATCACCTACCACTGTATTGTATATAGACTTGTAGTTCACATACGTTATTGAACATACCCATATAGAATATGTTCGTACTTTTTACACATTTCACTATAAAAAAAAATTAAGAAGAAATGTAAAACTTTATGTGATCGTACCTAGCATCAAGCAGAACATCAATATGCAACTAATCTCAAGTTACCAAATTAAACTCAATTATTGTAAAACGTGAAAGTATTTCATTGTTATCTTTTGTGTTTTGCTCCAAAAAGAGTATAGACAAGAAGCTATTGTTATCTGAACCACCTCCGAATCTTCACTTTTGCATTGCCCGATTAATTACAACCTAAATGAGTTGGTGGGCATGTAGGTTGAGTCCATGATGTCTATAGCATGAGTCGCAACATTGCATCTTTGGGAATTCGTGATCATTGAGATCTAAATATCGTCGATGAAAGTGCCAGGCTAATAAATAATTGAGTAATTCTGGTCGATAGTGTCAGTTTCGAGCCTGCACATGTTTCAGAAACCCGGCTGCATAATTGCAACGTTGTAAAAATACCTCGGAAATTTCATTTAACCGCAATAGCCAGAAGGCAAGTCCATAGTAAACAAAGCCATAATTACAATTTAATCCATGGCTTAACCCCGCACTCAGATTACATGTAGTAAGAACCACAACGTCCATTGAAAGCTTGGTATCTTTGCTGGTTTATTTCAGAATCATGTACGATTTGAGGATTGTTTCTAATTACCCATTGACAAGCTATCATTACACTTGTTTTGACGGCTAGAATTATTACCAACGATATGCAATTACCGAAACGACACGACATTTACTGCTCTTCGGCTTACAAGGGCATTGGGAGAACTGAACTTACGATCAAGCTACCGGTCTCCATAGCACGTGAGGAAATGCCATTGTAAACGCTCAACAATTACGTAAAGTAGAGAACACAGCTGCAAAATCTGGTACATTTTTTTATAAAACGCAACCACGAAGCACGAAGGACAACTCTGGTCAAATTAAAATTAGTACGAAGTATTGAGTGTGACCTTTATTGAATAAAGGTCACTCCCAAGCGGGATAGGTTTGATTGGCCTTAATAGCAACAAAGTTGCCATCGAAACTTGCTTTTAAATATGATTTTGTAACAATGATCACATAAGGCACTATGACGAGTCAATCCGAGGCTATAAATCGCCTGTGTTAGTTTCAACCTTGTCTGTTGTCTCAGTTTCCCCACAGCGTATACTAAATCTGGTATTCAGGCATCAGGACGGAGAGACGCTTGCAAGACAATCCACCATGGATCCCAAACTGTTAAACTAGGGGGCGCTGTTCTAATTTCATGAAACTGTATATTTTGCTAGAGCCTATAAAGATCTTGTATAGCTGGTCGCAAAATCAAACTTTCTGTTCTCATGGCAGCCCAAAACCTCTTACTGGAAAAGAACGGTTAGGAGATGATTGCCAATCATACATATCATCCCATTTCCAACTGTTCTTTGTCCATATGAAAACTATATGACCCAATGACACTTATTATTTTACGCGGCTATTGAGGTAGTCCAGACTTCACCTTTGCGCCTGACAGTCATCTTGACATCTATTCAACCCAGAACCTAACAAGCAGACAAGACTCCAAGACAATTCGAATTTCACACCTTTTAATGATTGGTTTTCGTGGTTATAACAAAAAATCATATTACACATGTGCATAAGCAAAATAAAAAATGGCATTTTCCCCATCAAATCAGTGGCCACGCGCAGCCGGCTGCTAAAATGAACTTGTGTAAACGCTATTCAGCAGTCGCCAAGGCTAGGCCACACAAACCATTGTAAATATTGAGAAAATTTATTGGGAAAAATTATCTTCGAGCGCGGAGCGGTCGCTTCACAGTTAGTCAAATATGTTGTTAATCGTTGTCAACTAATAATATGACGTCATTAAATAGGTGACGTAACAACAGGATTAAATGGAACAATGTGGTATATATAATTTTAAGTAATATGGTGCTTTAGGTGGGAAAGCACCCATCAATAGGTGTTAAAATTTTAGGCGGGAGTTGTAGATTCTGTGAAGTCATCAAAATGAGATCATAATAGTGATGTCATCAAAATCATTTGACCGAAACAAAAAATATGGACTTGTTTAAAAGAAAACAGGGGCAAATTTTAACAGTGTCAATATGCATAGACAATATTGTGTTTCAAAAAATCCTCAACTTTCAGACCCAATTTTTACCCAAAATATTCAATTAATCTGAGAATTACATTTTTTGAAATTGGCTTTTTCACCAGTAGTAAAATGAGGTATTTTAACAATGTCTACCCGTATATAATTCCAATATATCATCAAGTCTCAAAAATATTTAAAACATTAGTTCGTAAATAATTTTGAGACAATATTAACATTTTTACTGATTAGTATTGTATATGTGTTTAATAAGCAATCATAATTATCACGTAATAAAGGGAACTTAAATAAATCATTATTCATTCACAAAAAAACGGCAGCAAGGACTTGTCGTCAGAGTCGAACTGAAAGACTGAGTTCAGCTGAAAAAATTACACCGCCTTGAATCCAAATTCGGTAGCGGTATTTTTGTTTTGCTAAAGCAATTCGAGAATAAAAATTCTATTTATTTAATGATTATTTTTTATTTAAATTTTTATTCATGGTCATCAAATCCAACTGTGACAAAAATACACAAAAAAGGAGAAAAGACGGTAACTATAATAAATGCAAAATACGAATGAAAAAAAAAATAAAGGTACAAAAATAAAGAAATCGGTGTGATAAATTCGAGTTTGAGCATAAAAATCGAAAAGAAAAATCAAGAATAATCATTTTTGTCCAAAGCAAATTTATTTATATTCAAATCATCAAGCTGTCTTTTTAGTCGTTTTCCGACCTCCAGACAGACTTGTACAAGAAAATTGACAACAACCTCATATTTCATTACATCTGATTGCAGTGGGATTAGGTGTAATTGGTAAATAAAGAATCAAACAAATAAGAATCCAAACATGACAAATTATATCAAAATACAGCAGTTTGAGACTGTCGCGTATTTTGACGATTTAAATTTATAATTTGTTAGCTGATATTTTAAACATAATTAGGGAATTGAAAAATATTCGCCATTTTAATATCTCCTATTAATTAAACAATGATAAATTTTTCTTATAAACCTAATTATAGGTTTTCTCATTTGGGAACATGAAATATGTAAATAATGTTATGTTTCACATACATGTATTTAAAATTTAATTTAATTGATGAGATGCTTGATTCTAAAGAATGGCAGTTGGCATTCAACATCGAACAATTTATGGGCAGAAACGAATAAAACAGAAAAATAAATTCTGGCATAAATTTTCTTTTTTTCATGTTCACTAGTGGCGTAGGCACAGTGCGAAAATATATATAAATTTTCTTTCTGGGTAAAAAAGGTATTTTCGAATGCTGCGGCCACTAAATGCGACATGAGCAGCAATAGCGTCTATGCTCCTATTTGTGGTGGCTGCAAAACTCGATTGAGCAAAATCATCCGCAAAAATATGTTAGTAACTTACAGTATATCATTATAGTTAGTTGCAACAAAATTCACTGCAGTGCTAAGAGTTCGAAGGCTAGAAATATGGTTGTGTAAAAAACCATGCCTTGAAGGTAAATCAGGTACAACCTATTAGCACTGCAGTGCGATAGCTCATATATATATTTCTTTTTATTATGCTATTTTCATGATGTAGTACAAGTTTATGTTACAAAAAATAGATGTTAACATTCTTCAAAAAACGGAATCAAGTGAGGAACAGCGTTATAATTTCCTAAATCTGGCATCCCTCGACTAGCTAGCCACGAATTTAAAAAATTTGCGAGAAATTCTCTCGTTTGGCTTGAGGCTTCTATCTCCGTCAAGCATGTCTCTTCATATGTAGAGCAAGATGGTCGGAACGGGAAAAGCATCTGAAATAAAATAATAATACCATAAGCAAATGCTTCCATAAAAATTTCAAAAGTGGCGAATAGCACTACAACTACAGAAGATAGGGTGATTAAAACCAGTAGGCAGTCTCTGTAACAAAGAATTGACGGAATGGATATAAATATACAACTGGTCGATTAGAGCGCCAAAAGAATTCCCATGACGCCGTGTCTTATTCATTCATTATTTGTGGTATCAGATTTCTAATACCGGAAAACTATTGGCTACAATTTCCCACACAAATAACCCGTAGTATGCGTATTTAGGGTCGCAGCGGGAACTAAGGTTGTCTATTTTGACAAAAAATTCTGCATTACGGCCAAGCTTGAATACCAATGGAATCGCGAATTTAAAGCATGATTATATGCCACACATATGTGATCACGAGTAAATTTTCGAATAAATATCGTCGGTGTTTGACGACGATATACGAGAGTCTTCAGCGAGGTAGAGAGTAACCGTGTGGTAAAAGCGCGGGAAAATTTTAAATCGTTAACAATGGTCGGCGAGAAACTCGTTGTCGATCACGTAGTTATACGTTTATTGAATTGGAGCACGTGTTCGCGGCGTCTACGAACGGCATGTTTTTTTTTATCGTTCTGTTGTAGGTAATTTTGCAAATGTTGTTATGACTGTAAAAATGAAATGCACGCTCCGTTTGTACTACGAAAATAAATGAAACGTTTGCCAAAATGCAGGACAATGACTGTTAAGCTGACCGAATGCTCAGAGCTTCAATATGGTCAAATGGTAAATTGATCAATTTGTCCTATATTTTGTTTTTTCAATTTTCTAGTCACTTAAAAAGAAAATGATATAGCAGATTTTCAAAACTAATAATTCACGGTTGAAATCGTATATTTTGAATGTGACCCACAAACCGGCCTGGTTTGCAGCTCTTATGGTTGGGATTAGGCAATCTCGCACACCACGCAAACCATGGACCGGATGGGTTACGCATTACCTCCGGCGTTACATCATTACTTTACGTACCGATGCGTGATTTGCACTGTTGTGGTTTAAATGATATGAAAATAATTTTACAAAGCTGAGAACTGGCCGGCAATAGTTTGAACAAAACAACGCAAGGTATGCATGGGACATACATGACCGTATACAATAGCATTCGTTTTGGTTTATTTCAACGTAGGCTGCTTTCTTTATAACCAAAACAATGGTACATAGCTTGAACTTTTAAGCAATGAGCAATACAAATGTCTTTTCCAAGTTATACAAATAGCGATCACTAAAGAATCTTGGAACCACTCTAACCCTAACAGTAATTCAAATCTTATAAATCAACGGCAGCTTTTAATTCCATACGTTTGGTTGTAAACTACAAGCAAGCCATCAAAGTTAGAAATATCGATCCAAATTTCACGGGATTCCATAGTACAATCAAAGTCTGCTGCACTTATCAATAATGAATGGATGGCTTCGAAATGGATCGATTCGGCCGAACGATTTATCATTCCGTTTGTTTTAAACCGCACAACATTATGTGTGTGTATGAAGACAAACGAAATTTTTACATAAATATGTCTATTTTAGCCGTGGCAGCAGAAAAGCCTTTTGTTTTTATAAATGTCGAACTAAAAATACACCAGTCACGGACTTTCCCCAAACAGTATGTGCTGCTATCAAACATTCTATCATCAGAGTCACTGTATTGTGGTTGAATTACACTGAGAAATGCACCATAGCAAGCTCACCTGTCGCATTGACTACATTTAAATGGTTTGGCCCCGGTATGTTTTCTATAATGTCGAGTGAGTTCATCACTCCTAGCAAATCTCCATTCGCATCCGTCCCACGTACATTTGTATGGCTTTTCACCTGTTAAAAACATATCTTGTTATATCATAGAAGAAATTGGGAATATTTTAAAAAGGGTGGTATTTTCACATAGTTTACTAACGATGCTATACCATTGATCAAAAGAAGAAATTAAGTCTTCAAGATGAATTACTTTTGAAGAACAAGAAAAATTAATTCAGACTCCAACAATATGTCAAATCATTCACGCTGGATATTCAAAAATACACATACAAGACAAACAATACGAGTAGGCATAATAGATAGGAGACAAACATGGAACTTTGAGCAAATATTATTTCAAGAAAATTGGCGCGAGAATTCAAGTATCGTTAGAATCGACCAACTTTACTATTGAATTGTGTATTTCAAGCTTTGACAGAAATAAAGTGGTGAGCGAACATCCCCGAGATCCACTTTTCCAATAGTAACTTATGCGCACGTAAGCCATAGTACTACAAGCACAGATGTATGAAGGATACTCGGAAGAATAAAATACGCAACCACAGGGGCCATTTTTAGTAAAATCAGTCCATAGTAACCGCAGAATTGGCAATTTCCCTTTTACCAACATATGTTAAATTTAAAGCAATACGGAAATTAGAATTTCGTTCAAATGCTTTTAGGGAGACGATGTTGCATAAGTGACGTCACATTATGATGACAAATTGGGATTCATCGAACGATAGCAAACACTCGGAAACAGCAAAGTAACCAGCTGAGATGCCAAGGTCGAGGATTTGACATTCATTATACGACACAGCATGAAGCTCAGCCTAGTTGACATGAATAACGGCTGTGAACTGTAGGCTTTGCTGTGAATGACCTTGCAATCATGTAACAAACTTGATATGGGGTAAAAACGCAATTTCAGTGATGCGATTCAACAGTTGGCCCTACGTGGTAATTTGTTTTAACCAATTACGACTCTCGTAAAAAATCGTCAAATAACAGCCAATTCACGCTACCTCGTTAACATCAAAAGCGAGAAAACACAATGGTGACGGTTCAAAAGTAATTAAATAAGCGATGAGAAATTGAATACAAAGTATACCAATTACAAAACAATAATAAATTAAGTGATGCATCGCTTCATAATCATGATGAATAAGTACCACCTAATTATAATGCCGGTAATTTTAGTTCTTAATTGATGCAAAATCATATATGATGGGTCATAAAATGATGAAACCGCCACAAAATGTATCATAAAAATTATGACAATTAGAAGCATTGATAGCTATGGATGGTAAGTTTATGTCTTAACAATGGTTTGTCAAATTAATCGCCTTTGCAGAGTGAAATATAATTATCCATCGAATAATATTCAATTAAAGACAGCCAAGTGAATATCCAAAGCCAAAGAATGGAAAACAGGAAAGATAATTGTGCGACGGAGGTAGCAAGCTTGAAATTGAGAGCCGAATCCTTGCATCCCCACATATACAAGTCATGTCGAAAGCGTCACTCAATCAATGGTACACGTAAATTTAAAATGCGGTCTAAAAATTTTAAACTGGTCCAAGATCGCGAGATTTAACGACAGTTTCAGAGATTCTTTTAAACGAGGGTTTGTTTTTACAACATAATTGTGTAATAACAGGTGGTTATAGCCGGTCACAGCTATTTCATTACATTAGAAAAGCGCAATTAGTCCAATTAAAAACCAGCCGTAGATAAAATAGAAGCCGCTCAAAATCGATTATGATGCAAAAGTCTGGCAAACGTACGTTATTTTAAGAGCCGCTGTAGATGAACGTTAAAATACAACAGAACATAATTGACTAATAATGAAAGAGGAGAGTCAGCGCTGACAGTTCTCCCTTTTCCGTCTAAGTCAGACCGAAACCATTTGCCTTGACTAGAATGCTTGAACGAAACAGCACTGATTACTTATGAATGGCCCATGTCTTGAAGTTAATCCATCTCACTTTTGATCGTTAATGAGGATCGCCTGCTTTGAATAAGAGTCCACAAGCGCAATCACAGACAATAGATAACAGTACGTAATTCTACCCTTTCGCCCCCGGGGAAATTGCATATATTAACAGAGTTTCCGTAAAGATTGCGCTCGGACAGCTTTGGAATCCCACTTAGAAGCAATATTACATTCTGTGCCGCACTTGATCGAGGGTGACGTAAATTCAATTTTCGACTTAAAGCTATTTGTTATTTGACGCAGTGTTAGGCCGTCGTGCGTCGGTCTGATTATACAAGCACCATCTGTTGTTTCTGGTTTTAAAAACGTTCTGGCACTTTCTTGTTTTATAATTACATCAGCGTTAACGAGTTTGGAGAAACTTATTCAAAAGTGCGTTTAAAATGGGTTTCGGGTCATCACAGATTGTCGTTAGGCACATCCATTTCCTCTTACTTTTTTTATGCGATTTTATTGGACAATGAATGAATGAATACCCGGAAAAAGGAAGCCACAGAGTGCTGTTGCTAGCTGACTATTAGCATGGTAGAACTCGCGACAGCAAAACTACCAAATATCAAGTGCATTGAAATGTATATTCGAACAACGAGACAACATGTATAAATTGTATATTGAGATTCCCAATTGGAACTGTTATTCTTTCAAAATAAAATCATTGAATCGATTTTATAATGCAAATCAAACTGGATTTCAGTCTGAAGGACTCGATGCCGTCTGCAATCGATTTTCAATGCGACACCAAAAACATATAGCAGTAGGAGACGAAACGCCAAAAAATGCAGTGATTTGAGCAACTGTTAAAGCAAAGGTTGCATCCAATTCTGTGGCTCACCATGTATATAAATTCGCCATTATGACTATAGGGGATCAGTATATTTTTATCAAACTCTTTCAAATTGTTGGGTGCGCTAGTGCTGAACAAATTGGTGCCTGTGTTAAAGTATGAAGGGATGAGAAGCTTTTCTTTAATTTTACCTGTATGAGTCCTCTGGTGTGCTTTTAGGTGTGAGCTTTTGGTGTACACCTTTCTACAGTTTGTATAATTACATCTGTGTATGCGTTTCTTTGTGTCATCCTCGTCACTTCCCGAAATATTTTTCATTCTTATATTTGTTGAGTTCACTCCAGATACAGTTTTGAGAGCTGAACGACTACGCTGGACTTGGGAGGCATTTGCATTGCAACTATGTGCTGTGATGCTCCCAATAGGCGTCGCGGTGAAGGCCCCGTTCTTTACTCGGGCAACTTGGCCCTTTAATGCGCTTATGCTGATTCCTGGTATGGCCAATGCTTTTGTGTGAAACTGGCCGTTCAAATTTTCTACATTCAAATAAGCGGGAGGGGAAAGTCCACCCATTCCTGTACTGCCTTCTGGACTTGAAGGCGGTGTTAAAGTTAATGAAATGGTTCCATTAGCTTTCAATACTTTAAGTGCATTGAGAGGATCTTGCACAAATTTATGAGGCGGTGGAGGGCTTAATTCACCGGATGATAAAGATGACATTGAACCTACACCTGACGACGCACTTCGTTTCAAATTACAACATTTTTTATTTCGGTCTAATTTTTTTATTTCTTCTACAGAAAGTCCGGGACCTCCTCTGGCGTAAAAAGGCACCGTAAATTTTGTCCATGGATTCATTGTAACATCCGTTGGTGGAGTAGGTGGACTTTGATATGTCTTTGGCTCTGATTGGAGATATTTTTCCATCTCAAAACACGTCTGTAATAGAAGAAAAATTGATTAATAAATAATACTGGGAAGATCTAATTTTTGATTCAAATAACCAATCAATACAGGTAATATAGTTACATTGAGAATGCATTAGATTATAAACAGCTATTTCATCGAATACTACCGGACCAACACGGTGCGGTAAACAAGGTATCGACCGAAAAATATCGATTCTGTCTGTGTCTATGCATTTTTAATGAATCCAACCTTCAAACTGCTACGTTGGTCGTTTGCATCGTAACTACTGAAAATGTCGCTAATAGTTTGAAGAGAACTGCATCGCAAACTTCCCATATAAGAAAAGATATACGGATTATGGAGTATGACAACATGTAAGCTAGCGACCATCGATTGATGACACAGCAATATTTGATGGGTTTGAACTATGTTTCAAAACACGATTTTTAAAATATTTAAATATACATACACCCGCCAACATAGTTTGAATTCACTATTTATAAGATGACCGTTCGTCGAAAAACCAACAACCTGGGAACATGGCAAGTTTTCAATAAATGTATTATACAGAAAAAGATTGACGTATGCTACAGTTCCTTGTTAAGTGTTCCATCACACAGAAACAGGAATTTCATGTACTTTGATGCATAAGTCAAGTAATTATATTTACAACCCCGAAAAGTTTGACGAATACGAAGTCAAATCTAATTAGGCGCTTTTTGTTTCAATCAATCAGGCAAGCCGGTAAACACATAACTTGGTCTATTTTTACATTAATTTTCAAACGCATTGTCCTCAATCATCGCGAAATAATATTCAATAACATTGATTTGATTGAATAGATGTTCAAAAAAAACTTTACCGATAAAACAGAGCTATATCACTATCAACGAGAAGATGGAATTTGTAGTTATTAAAATTTGAATTAGTAATCAATCAAAAACAGTAACACGCAGTCCGTTTAAAATTGATTGGCGTTATAATTCTACCTGCTTGGTTATTACAAAAAGGAAAATTTAAGATCTACAAGCGTGGAGAATAATCGTGCAACAGTTTCCAATATTTTAGAATAGTTAAACTGACAATCAAACGTGTCAAATGTACATTTATCATTCATGCAAATGCCGGTTTCAGATTCTTAGAATAAATTGAATCGTGGAGCGTCCATAAACAATGTAAACACAAATAGTATTCTAAACTTTTACAGGACAGAAACTCTTGTAAAGGTTATGAGGAAACTTATCAATGGGCTGGTATAAAGTTATGCCATGAAACCAGATCACTTCAGGCGATTCGTACGAGTCCCTGTATGTATATAGAGTAAAAATTAAATTCAATTCAAAAGGATGAAATCACTTGAAATCCCTCCTATGAAAGAGAATTGGCAACTCTCATTAAAATATCCCGCTTAGGTGACCGTTGGCCAATGCGGGACGTGATATTGAAAACTTTTAGAGTAACACAAATCATTATAGTTTTCAATGGACTGAACTCAATAATTGAGGTTATGTTGTATGGTAAAGGACGGTTGAGGACCGGTTTGTTTACATAACTGAGTGAGAAATAATATTTTCGTTCGCTTTCATTTCTAATAATCTATTTTGTTATGTAGACAAAATAAAAACGTGTATATCAGAGGTGTAATATGACTACGTTGAATAACTGTGTTATTTTGACACCATGTCACGGATTATAAAACCAAATGTGTTTATACAGTCTTGTGGGTAGAAAGTGGTGATAACAGTATGGCCAATCATGAATATCTTGACTTTAGCAATAACGTTACATACGATCCCCGTGCTAGTCAATGTTGGGTATTGTTCAAAACCACATTAAGCTTCCACTCTAAGCCTTTTACGACGAACTGAATGTACACTGTGCAAGACTCACGACGCGGATTATCCGTTAAGTGCTAAAACAGCATCAAAGCAATTTTTAACACCGTCGCCTCCTCGTGATAAAAAATAAAATATATATTCAGGTATGAATCATAATGAGAATGATGTTTCGATTAATGCCTATAATTTTGAGAGTGCGTACATGGCAGGCAAATACTGGAACGATTATCCACATGCGCTTATGATTTATGCCAATTATGGGCCTATTTATACAAATGTGCCTATGCCAATTTAACAATGGAGGTGGATGATTAGCAATGGGCTTGGGTTAGCAGCATAAAAGCAATTTTGTCATTATTATGGATTCTGTCGCAAACATTTCAATATTGTGTTTATATATGTAATCGAGGAGATTTTTCGAGTTTCCCTGGTTTTGTTCATGATGTAAACATCCAAAAGAATACTGTTTCACTTTACATAAAAAAGGAAATTGCAGACTGTATATTTTAGTATATGCGTTAAATTAATTCAAAATCGAATTGAATTGCTTTTTCGATAAGCATAAATTGGATGCTGTAATTATTTCCCGCCATAGTCACGGTTGACGTGACATAGAGAATTGTTCCCTCTGGCAACGAGCTGATGTCAATGCTGCGCTCTCGATGTGAGACGAAGCCTAAACTGTACAATCTTACGTTATAGGCCAGAGTCCGTGGTTGTCATCAGAAGATTCATAACACAAACATGCAGCTTAGAAGAATCAATAAACACGGGTACACACCTGTTGCCAATTCTCTTCAAGACTTGGCTTAGACGAGAAATACCCAGTATCATGTATAATTTGCAGTTCTACAAATATATTTCCACAGGGTAATACATCCATGATATAGGTTATGTTGATAATCCGATTATTACCTGCATGTATGCACTAATTATATATCTATTTAAATAATCCAATGTTTGTTTGCAGCTATGCTTGAAATCGGCTGTAAAATATTTAATAATAATTACAAGATTAATTACCATCAGATCCAGTGCTATTACAAGAAGTTCGTGAGATGCGTACACAACTGTTCTATACTCGGCTTTTCGAAATATCTGCAGTCAATTAAATAATAATAGACCATTATACGTTCGGCATTCTTGATCTCAATACTTATACAAACCTCGCTATCTATAAACTGCAAGTATTTCGTCGATGCCGTGTAACGTCCACGAACCGAAGCGCAAGTTTACCTCGTGTACACATGGTCTTCTTAATCACGGGCAAACAAATCATCCCGCGCGCTTGAACAAGCGTCGCTTTGGCCCGACTGTTTGTCAGTGCTATCGATCCTGGAAGCGTATATGTTTGCCTGTTACTCGACGCTATCTCTCCCGCCGGCAAAGTAAATAAGATTATAATCGATCTGCCCAATCGATTTCTCCGTGATCAATGAGATTACATAGGTATTATAATCCGATGTCCAGCTTAAAATTAATTGCGTTGGATATGGAAAGTATACATACGAATAAATTAACTAAAATAGAGGATATGCGCACTACGAACTAATTGACATACTGTCCTGCTTCTCACTGTTACAAATCGTAGTTCTATAGCTTGAGCGGATTGGTGAAAAAAATTAAACGACGGTATAAACAGTCTGAACAACTATCAAAACAGAAAGCTAAGCCGGTTCCCAACACTTCAGTCCATCAGATCAAATCTCCCAAGCTTCCGATAGGATTTTACGATTCCTAAACGTGTGATTCCTTTAAGAATATATGTCAAAGTGACACAAATGTTTTACAGCAACACACGACCAAGTTTTAATGTATGACCAAATATGCACTATGACTATATCGTAATATATCCTTATCATGATTTGTAGTTAGTACACCTATTCATTACCAATTACTAGATATAATTTCAGAAATATGTGGGACAGAACTCTCTATAACCCTTCAAATCCTGGAATGATTTATTATTCGATGCTAGTTAACGGTTTAGGCATTCAAAAGGCCCGGAAACGCTCGGCTTAAAGCTCTTTAAACTAACGTAATGCGTCTAAGCTGAACGTTCCATGACACTTTTCCGGCTGTGCTGCATATCGATGAATGCGTGCACGCTCAGCAAGCTGTTTCTCTTTCTACAACTGCTTTTTTCGAACGCCGGTACCGGCGCTCGGTCTATTTTGACAAACTATTTTAACGCACACGTATGGCCTGCATAACTCGTCTACTGGTCTATGTAGTAATGAACTCAGCTCTACTATATATCATTTAAATCCTCTCTCACATTTGAAACACATACATGTTGGACACGCGGTATTATTGTTTTATTTAAAAAATAAACCTGATCAACTGTTGAAAAGTACGATATATAATTCATATTAATTGAAATCTTCAGGCCAGATCAAGCATGGCAGCTCACAAACGCAGCTCGAACTCAAAAGGAACGTGACGAGTTTTTGCGTACAAGACGCCACAAAACGGAAAACATCCTTATTGAGCGAGTCGTTTGTTTTCCGTTAATGAACAACGAATAATAACAAACGATCTCAAACAAGCTATCTCAATTGTTCTTTGCGCAAAATTATTCGATTGCCTTTATTCGCTGTGAGAGATAGAAAGCGACTCCACTCCACGTAACGATGGACGCAGACAATTAGCGAAATTACTATTCGCGACGAGTAGAGAAAGGCGCTGAAATTCCCCAGTTGACTCAAAGGATTTCACAGAAGGTTCTTACAGCGCAGTCTAGTACGAATTTACCTCAATGCCGACCCCTTTCCGTCTGTGAGTAATGCTAACAATAGGATGCGTACAAATCATACGCTATTTACATTACTGAACGCGTTATCGATTTGGTTTCTGTGGGACTACTTATCTTTCTGCCATGCTTTTGATCCGTATGCATATGGCACAAGGATGCTAACTTGAGTTGCGTAAAATACTAAACGCGTATTTTTTCTTCACAATATTTTGTTGGACGTAACTCCACTATACCAATCCGGTCGCCCGAGTTGCAAATGCGCCACGTTCGCGAGAGATTAGTATTTTTGTTCCGGTAGGAATTTTCTACTCTGCAAATGATTGGTATGCTATAGTACTACTACTATAGCTGTTTTGTCCAGCATGCATCGGCCAATTTTTTCGCAATTTCAAATAGGTAATAAGCCTAAAAGAAAAAACATTCATATTCCTTTATTGGAAATTTAAATGAAAATAAGGAAATTTCAAATACGAGAGAAAAAGAGTTATTTTCCGAAACGTTTTTCGCCGACTCAGTGAGAGGTTTACACTTGGATGCACACCAGACGAGAGAAGTATGACGTATTGCTCGCATTCCGCCATTGGTTTACAGCCATACCAAATTTGGGCATAGAGCGCATGACAAACTGTTCTATTTATAGATAGCTATATAAAGACCCTTGTCTGTAGTGTATCTGCGGCATTCGGTCGCAGAGCGTTACCGCGGACGGCTCTGTTTTCTAAGTGCGCTGTAGCCTTTGGTTGGCTTTCTGCCTTGCCAACGCGGCGACTTGCATGGCGGTATAAACAGTTTCAATCAACATTTGCTCAGCAATATTTTAACTTCGGTTATACATTTTGCTCTACACATTATGACCACACTACGCTGTTCATAGCCCAAATTACTTATTTCAAACTGGTTCGGTAAGCAAACACGTATTTAGATTACTCGTTATTCAAACTTCTCGCGTGTTTTACAGAATTGTTTGGCATACTTTTCATTTGTACTACTACAGCAAGCAACGTTGACTGAGCACTGTGACTCAAGTACTGGGGACTCGTTTTGCAGCGGATGTTATAGCTTTCACTCCTGAGAAACCGAGTCATTGCGTTTCCTGCCTTTTACAAAAATTGGTCTTTTTTTGTTGCTCGATCAGTCTACAAAAATGCTCGACATTTCTCAAGAAAATCTTACTCCCGACGTTTTGCAGATAGGGCCACGCTATTGGTGTGGGGTGAATATATTTTCAATTTATATTCCATAAACAAAAAAGTCATGCACGTGTGTAAGTGAAAATGCAATTTCGTTGTATCAGACAAGGACCTCGGATTTAAATACCAATAGAAATCAAATACAACACCCAACGGATATACAATGTCTCATGGCAAGTTTCTTTAGGTTCAAGCACCACCAGACATAACACAAGTCCGGAGTTAAAAGTTTCTTTAAATCCGCGACCTTTTTGCATAAACCGAGCGATTACATAGGTTAACAATTTTTGACGCTGTAAGACTTTCTGTAAGGATACTGAGAGGAGGCTAAACACCCTTGTTAAGTATGATATAAGTATGATATAAGTGCAAATACAAAAGAAAAGATGTTTTTAAAATCGAATCGAATATTTTTTTCGAATCTCGAATATTTGGAAGATATGCAATTGTATGTGAATTTTTATTGTAATCTGTATTCTCAACACATAGATCACTGAAAATATAAAATTCATCACTCGCAGTGTTGTCACATGCAATAATAAACAGGTTTTATCAATAACTCAATGCAAAATAGAGTCTTATAAAAATGTATTATAAAAATATGGCTTCATTAAACAAAATTGAGGGGTTCATTTGGACCTCTCGCGATCAAAAAAAAAAAAGATGGCGGCTATTCGAAATTTTCGTTCGGATAATTTACTATTCGACTCGAATATTCGAAATACCCAGCCCTAGTCATAACTGTAAGTTTGATTACTACTGCCTCATTGACTACCATATTAAATCAGCGCGATTTGTGATAATATACTACGTAATTTACCCGAACCATTAAATCCGGATGTTGTTCAAAACTCAACATTTCCCGACTCCGTTCACCCTTATATCCTTTCAATATAAACTTAGTTTGTTGAACGCGATTTCTCATAAATCAGTATGTGTATGTTACCTGTTATACCTAATTGAAACGGCAAGTGAAATTTATATTTCCTCAAATATATTACAAACAGCCAAACGCAGACGTTCTAGCAATTGCTTTTTAATTGAATGATATTGTCCGCCATGAGCGGGAAACTTTTATAGGAACGTCAGATCAATCTATATTCGGACAGGACTTTCTCCATACAGGTATTGTTGATTAGTCAATGTACTTATGTGCTATCCTTATAATGTGTATTTATTCATGTCTAGACCAAAGCGGACGGAGATGAACCCCAACACCGCGCATCTCTTACTTTTACGAGATATCTTGCTGATAAGTTAGGGGGAAGTTGAGTAAATAAAAAACAAGTAGTGACTAAATATGTAAATCGTTCGTAGTAACAAATAATTCTCGACAAAGTTGAATGAACCCGATAATGCGTAATAGCTTTTACTTGCCGCTCTGTGGGATTGTGTCATAATAATGACCCTCCTACGTCATGCCAAGTGCTTGGTTTCATAATCACAAAGGTATGAGATAATCCTAATAGAAATGAATGGGAATACATGTATATATATACCATATATATAGAGAGAACTATGTTATGGGATTTCACACAATGAACTGTGAAATTGGATATTTTTATTCTGGAGTTTTCTTCGCCATCCTGGCACCCACGTCCAAACATCCCATAAACCTTACAATGTTTCCAATTTCAGCTGAAATTGGACATATGTTACATATGTCCAATACATTTTATATATGATATTATATACTGTGATATATAATGCAAGTGAGTGAGTTCTGCTGTACGATTTGTTCCGTACAATTGCCCACAATGGCATATGTAAATGTGGCCTAAATATTATTCACAACAATTGTATTTTAATCAACTAATCTTAACGAAATGTGCGCATTCGATGTGAACGCAAGAATCGGTAATATTTGCCAAAAATTGATTTACAAGCTTTATTTTTAAAAATTTCTGTTACATAGGGGACTGACTATTGACCGTTGTGCTTTTGGGTTAGGGATATCTTCAACCTGCATAAAGTAGTAACAGGCGGATAATCACCTATGATAGAACTGTTCGCGGGAAAAATGGTGCACAATGAAACTTTGAATAATATTGACATGGCGAAATAT